TATTTTCAACTTTTTGAGGAACCTCCATACTGTTTTCCAGAGTGGCTGCACCAGCTTGCATTCCCACCAACAGTGTAGGAGGGTTCCCCTTTCTTGATTTTTTTTTTAAGAGGGGGGTGGGTAGGGGCAGAGGAAGAGAGAGAATCTTATGTAGGCTCCATACCCAGCACAGAGCCCAAAGTGGGGTTCGATCTCACGACCTTGCGATCATGACCTGAGCCAAAATCAAGAGTTGGATGCTTAACCAACTGAGCCACCCAGGAGACCCTGAAATCTTTTGCTTTTTAAATGTAGACAACTAATTGTTTAAAAACATTGTGGGGCCGAACAACACACCTGGGACTTTTTAGAGTCCTCTGGAAGCCAGTCTTAGGTTCTTGGTCTACTAAGCCATCTTTGGCCGTGGTTTCGATTTAGTCTACTTGATTTAGTTCTAAAAATATTGACCTATGTGTTATTCCATGTGTCACTTGCTCAGTGTTCAAAAGACTGGAAATACAAAGATGAACAATTGTGCTCCTTGTCTTGAGTGGGGTAGCTTGTAATTGAGAGGAGCTGTTCTCAATATATGGTCCCCAGGCCAGCTCCTCGGTATCACCTGGGAACTTGTTAGAAATGCACATTCTCAGGCCCCACCCCAGATTCACAGAATCAAAATTTGCATTTTAACAAATGCTGCAATCTGTTTTTTAACAAACCTTCCTGGTGGTTCTGACTCCTGCAGAAGTTTGAGAACCACTGATCTGGGAGGGGAGTTAGGTGTATGGGCAGAGATCTATGGGATGCAGAAGCTGTGGCGAGAGTCAGGGAAGCTTTTCAGAAATGAATGGCTCCACCTGAATCTTAAAGGATGAGTAGAAGTTGGCAGGTGAAGCAGTGGAGAGGGGTGTCCCGGGGAGGGAGCAAAAGGAACAAGAGTAGGAGGAGAGAGGGTATGTAGGGTGTGTTTGGGAATTGTCAGTTTAGAGCATGTGACTGACGGATGCTCTGGCAAATAGAATGAGTTTAGAAGAATAGATGGGGCCAGGTGTTGAATGCCAGGACATGTTAGGTGGATTGGGTCTTGTAAATGTTGGACATCGCTGGAGACCTTGGAGTAAGGGAGTGTGGCACTGGGTCTGCGTTTAGGAAAATAATACCGCTGGCATGGTTCAAATTCCTTCTGGGTAGAGACAACTCTCTTGGTACCCACTGGCCTAGATCTGGATTCCTGCTTCTCCTGGTGTGACTTGGATCTGGGTCAGCAATTCCCATCCTTGGATAGGGTGGTGGGGAGAGGAGGAAAAAGCTTTTGCGTGAGGAAACAGTCATTGCTGCATGTAAAATTGTGACTGCAATTGTCACATGTCACTGTGTCCTCTTCCTTCCCACAGGGAAAATGCTTATTCTCCAAGTTGAACATTTTAGTGGTTGCTGGTGTTTTCAGCAATGGCAGTGGTCTTGGTTTTCCTACTTTAAAAGCAGCCCATCACTGCAGCAAATATTTTGGGGGAAAACAAACCTTGGTCTGTTTTCTTTCTTTAGAGATCTATGGTGTCTAAAGAGGAAATAATTTGAGCTCAGGGCCCGGGAAACTCATGTCTATACCTAACTAGGGCTTGCTTCTCCCTCCCTTTCTTGCTCTCTTTCTTTTTGAAATGCTGGGGTGTGGGAGGTAATGGGAGCAGGATGCAATGTCACCTCCCCCTGCTGGTCGTTTTGCATAACGTCTTGTTGGTAATCTACAAAGCGAGTGCGGACAATGGGCAATGCAAATGACGGAAAAGTAGACCGAGATTCGATCCATTAACTTTTAAAATCTGCCCAGTGTAGTGAATTGTGAAATCTTTATCTTTGTGAGAGGGTGAAAGGAATATATATATTTTTTACTCCTTCCATTCTTTGCAAATTGATGTAATGTTTACAAAGTAGTTATTTCTTTTGTCTGGCTACTGCAACTTTGCATACATTAATGATTACTTTAGCCATCTCTCTCATTTTTTTTTTCTGCCTATCTAGTGAGTGTTTTTTTGTAAGCTAAAATGAACAGGTTTTTCCAGTTAATTGCTTTGGGTGCTTGGTTCAAGTTGACCACAAGTATCTGTGCCTGTTTACTATGAATATATAAAACGACCAAGCTGTAATCTTTATGGGCATTAAAAGTGATACTTAAAGTGAGTGAAACTTGTGTTTCTACTTAATGATTGATCTCTATTTTTAGTCACAAAGGTGGTGTTCATAAATATAGGGGGTATTCATTATGACTCTATCTACATGATAAATTATATAGAGGCTTTTCAGAGGAGGGTAAAATGCCCTGCTGAGAAGCTTTAAGGGTAAGCTTTTCTAGGGCAGTTCTCTGAACAATTCCACCCCCTCCCCCTTTTGAACTTCCCTGTTTGTGAGCATCTAAATTTAAATAGCTTTCCTAATAAAAACTAACCTTGTTGTTATCTTCTGAAATCTGAAATCCTGTCTTGGCTTTGCCCCTGTCCATCTGAGCAGATTGAATTTATGGAGTGGGTGCATTTATGTGTTTCAAGACAGCCTGATAAGAGGAAGCTTGAACCAGGAGGACATATACTGGCTTGGAACTCAGGCATTCACACCTCTTACCATGTGGGTGCAAGCCAGTTACCACCTCTAGGCATAGTAAACTAGATATTGTTTAGGTCCTCTCCAGCTTTATTCAAATGCACTCATCAAAATGATTAAAACATTTGCCCTCATGTAGACATTGAGAGCAGCCCTGGAAATAAGAGAAAGAGAGGAAGAGAGGTTGCTTTTATTCTCTTACAAAGAATGTCAAACATAGTTTAATGTCAAATCATCCAGAGGGTTAGCTGTAGGTTGGGCATGTGGACTGTGTGCCTTCTTCTTATTGCGCTGTTTTTTTTTTTTTTTTCTAGTTGCAAATGAAGCTGGAGACAAGACTGCCAGACCACTTGCCCGCTTCTCTCGTGAGTAGATCTTGTTTCACTCCTTTTCTGGGCTCCTTCAGAGGTCTTTTTACTTGCATTGTCCACCCCTGTAATCCTGCCAGGTGTCAGTGAAACACTGTCAATGAAAGAGTCATATAAGAAATATCTTCAATGGGTTAATATTTCATTTGAGCCCCACCACGGGTGAGCTATTCATTGCTATTACCTTTTCAATCCTCAGAACTGTGTGTGGTTTATCAAACTGTGCTCTAGTGTTTTGCTGTTCCAAGTGGGGTCCTGGGAGCAGGAGAATTGACATCACCTGGGGATTTTTAGAAATGCAGAGCCACAGGCCCAAGGAATCAGAATCTGAATGAAACAAACCCCTAGGTGGTTTCTGTGCACGTTTGAGTTTGAGAACTGCTCACTGGGAGTCCCCTCAGAGAGCCCTGCAGTGGAGGTGGGCATTTTATGAAGATAACATGAGGAGGAGTATGTGAAATGCTCATAGTTGCCAAGGTCCACGCATGTGTGAAAGCGTCATCACCATCCAAAGTGGATTTACGGGCTGCCTCCACGGGCTTTCCCTCCTTTAGGTGACATTTTTGAAGCTCAGATAGATTGAATGGTTTTCCTTGGGTACAGGGTTCCCATAAGGGCCTTGGAACTCCCCATCAATTTCTTTTGACTCTTTTGTTTCCAGTTCTCGATCATAATGGGAGAACAGGAGTCAAACACTTCTCAGTGTTTTCTGTGCCAGTGTGGTCAGCAAATTACGCAGCCAGTTAATGCTGTCCCTGGAAGGAAAACCCAGATCCCAATAAGGGAGCAGAAATACCAGAGGTTGAGCAGTGCTGGGTGGAGGTGCTCCCCAAGGCCTGGAGCAGAGAAATGGTGGGGCCGTCAATCAAAATGGAATTTTTCTTTCCAGCACCATCACCACTTGCTGGCTTTTGCTTAAAGTAATTTCACGGATAGTTTCTGGGCCTCAGTTTTTCCATCTGAAAAACAGAAAATTCACACCCATCTTCTCTCCTTTATAAAAATGTTACCTACTTTTGAAGTCATGGCACACAAATTCCCAGTCACTGCACTGTTTACATAAGGTAGATCAAGTCTTGAGTGTGGATACCGCTACAGTAAGCCTTAATGCATAGAATTGAAAGTATAATTTCTCTATTTGCAGGGCCTTCTAAATTCTGCCTTCCAGCTTTTTTGAGGAGGCTTCAAAACTTTGAGATTGATTCCTAGAAATGGTTTTTATAGAACTGTAATATATGATAATGCAAGAGCATTAAATGCTCACATTTTAGAAGCTGTGAAATAAAACACTCGCTTCTCACTGCCCTCCTACCTGGAACCATTACTTCCCAAAATAAGTATTTCATCCCACAACTCAATGAGGATGATGAATATGCTTTTAGTCCCTTTATTTCTTTATCTCCCGAGCAGTAGTCAGGCAAATTAATAAGCCAGAATGGTAACCCAACCATTCTGTGTGCATTGTACCGCATGCACCTCTGTGGGAGTGCCTGGTGCTTTTTCTTTTTTTTTTTTTAATTTTTTCTTTTTTAAATTTATTTGAGAGAGAGCGTGCAAGAGAGAGCAGGAGCAGTGGGGAGGGGCAGAGGGAGAGGGAGAAGCGGGCTCCCTGCTGAGCAAGGAGCTGGACATGCGGCTTGATCCCAGGACTCCGAGATCATGACCTGAGGGGAAGGAAGAAACTTAACCAACTGAGCCACCCAGGCGCCCCTGCCTGGTGCTTTGATGCTCACCATGACCGGTAGGAAGGGGCAGATGGGGTCTTATCACCGAAAAGCCAGAACGACAGCAGGAGCAGCTAGTCCCTTCCCAGACAGAAGAGGGTGACTTTTTTTTTTTTTTTTAAGATTTTATTTATTTATTTGACACAGAGAGAAAGACAGCGGGAGAGGGAACACAAGCAGGGGGAGTGTGAGAAACAGGCTTCCCGCGGAGCAGGGAGCCCGATGCGGGGCTCCATCCCAGGACCCTGGGATCATGACCTGAGCCCAAGGCAGATGCTTAACGACTGAGCCACCCAAGCGCCCCGAGGAGAGTGACTTTGCTTGTAAATAGCTTCCACAACTTCTGAATTGTGTGTCTGGGTTGGAAGGATGATATGTCACTTGAAAGCTTATTCCTAGAAGGTAAGTGAGGACTGAGAGAAACAAAATATACAAGCAAAAAGTAATTAGTGGCAAACCAGTGAAGTTGGACTGATTCTGGAACCAAAAAAAAAGGGAAAGAAAATTCCTGACCGTGCCATCTCCTGATGTGGAGGGGGATCAGATGGTACCATTAATTCCTAAGTGTTTTCATAGCAGATACTAGAGGGAGAAAATTCGGTGGCCTTTAGGAAGAAAAAAATATTTTTCTTTCTTTTTTTGGTGGAGGTGCTGAGGTGCCAGCTCTGTAGCTCAGGGACTCGGTTCTGCCAGCTTGGTAGGAGATGCTCAAGCTTCAGCTCAAGGCAGGCTTCATAGATCCACACTGCTGTGGCCTTTACTCTAATTGGTTCCATCTAGGTTGGAAGACCTTTCCTTAAACATCCCCTTTTACCAGCTCACTGATATCAGGATTTCTCTGAAATAAGGGAGTCACTTGAAGACTTTGAAATGCAAATTCTCTTTGGAGTGAGGACACAGGGATTCATTCTTATTATGGTGAAAATGATTGATATCAGACCTTTTAATTTTTTTCCCCAGACACCTGAAAATATATTCTCAGTATGTAAACGGAGGGGACAGAGGAGAGGCAGCCCAGGGTCAAGCTGAGAGGGGTCTTTGTGCTAGCCTAAGGAATGGACCCTGGTTCTAGGGAAGCCTTTGAAAGGTTTTCACACTTGACTGGCATCTCAGCCTTCTCCTGGAGCTGGAGGTGCCCTTTGGGGACCAGGGCTGTGCCATGAAGAGCTGGACCTTCACGTGAGGAACTCCTGGGGGCCCCCTGAGGCTGGAGCTCCTGACCTCGCAGGACTTCTGGGGTGAAGTTAGCTGGCTATGGGGCTGGGTCCCCTGCTGGTCCAGACATCTGGGATGCTGGCATGGCTGCCCTCCAGCGTCAGCCTGGAGAGCCCTCCTCCCTGGAGATGTCCGTTTCACGTGTATGTCGGTCTCCTCATTAGACAGCAGGCTTCTGGAGGCCAGGGGCCGCACCTGGTCGAGCTATGTACTAACCGTGCCTGGTGCAGGAACAAGTACTTGTTGAGGGAGACAGAGTAAACTAGTACCTGCCAGCACTGTTCCCCACTTCTCTTCTTCATCCTCACGTCATAAGCAGGGGCAGGCCATCCCGCTGTCAGCACACAGGCTCCTGAAACCACTGAGCAGTATGTCCTCAAGGGTCCCTGACACACTAATGTCAGGGTGTTCAGAGGCCCTTAAGGACACAGGCTCTGGTGATAGGTCTGGGTTTGGGTTCTATGTCCAGGAATTCTGACTTCTGTGTGAATTCGGGCAGGTAATTTACCCCTCCAAGCCACACTTTCTGCAGCTGGATCCCAGGACAGTATTAGAACTTGCTTCCAGAGTGGCTGTGGATGATCTCATGCAGGGGTGAGTGCTAAAATACTTAAACACATGTGACATGGTCACCGATCTGCTAGAACAAATATTGGTCATGGGTGATAGGAAGGACCAGGGTCCAGGAGGCCCTGATGGGCTGGTCACTGGATGACGCTGGGGCAGTTGAGGTGGATGTTGCCCTGATAACCCAGTATAAATAATATGAAGCACAATGTGGGCACACTTAGTGCTCAGTAAGTAGGGGTGATTGTCACTGTATATATTACCACTCTTCTTGTCCCCTTCCTTCTCTCCTTCATTCCATCCCTCCCTTCTTCCTTCTTTTCACATATGTTTATTGAGGACTTTTCTGTGCCAAGCCCTAGAGACACACATAAGTAAGTTTGTCTTCAGAGAGCTCATAGTCTGATCAGACGATGCAGAAGTAAACAGCTTCACTGCAGCATGTGGAGGGAAATGCTAGAGATTGTTACAAGGAGCTGCGTGAACCAGATGGGGAGACCTCATCCGACCTGGAGTGGGAGTGGATTCAAGGGAGTCCTCCTGGAGGAGAGAAGCATTAGCTGAGGCTTAGGGAGTGAGTGGAGGGTAACAGGTAGAGAAGGTAACATCTAATCTTAAAAAAAAGAAAAAAAGAAAAAAAGAAAGCCCTCAAGGTCCATCCCATGGTGATTATGCTTAATGAAATAAGTTGGACAGAGAAAGACAAATACTGTATGATCTCACTTATATCTGGAATAATAATAATTAAAAAAACCCTGCCACCAACAAAAAACCCCAAACTCATAGACAGAGAACAGATTGGTGGTTGCCAGAGGTAGATGGGGGATGGGATGTGGGGAGTGTGTGAAATGGGACAAGGGGGTCAAAATGTACAAACTTCCAGTTATAAATAAGTCCTGGGGATATAATGTATAGCATGGTGACAATAGTTAATAATACTGTCTTGTATATTTTAAAGTTGTTAGGAGAGTACATTTTTCTTTTTTTTAAAGATTTTATTTATTTATTTGACAGAGAGAGATAGCGAGAGGAACACAAGCAGGGAGAGTGGGAGAGGGAGAAGCAGGCTTCCCACTGAGCAGGGAGCCCTATGTGGGGCTTGATGTGGGGCTTGATGTGGGGCTCGATGTAGGGGTCAGTGTGGGACTCAATGTGGGGCTCAATCGCAGGACCCTGGGATCATGACCCGAGCCGAAGGCAGACACTTAAGGACTGAGACCCTAGGAGAGTACATCTTAAAAGTTCTCATCACAAGAAAAAAATTCTGTAGCTAAATATGGTGATAGATGTTAACTAGATTTTTTTATGGTGATAATTTCACAATATATACAAATATTGAATCATTATGTTGTACACCTGAAACTAAGATAATGTTATAGGTCAAGTGTATCCAGAAAAAAAAAGGCTATACAACTTTTCAGGGACTAAAGGCTGCATGCAGTGTTCAGATATGGCCACCATGTGGCAGCAGAAGCCCAGAATTTGGTGCGC